TACATGTATTCTTGTGCGTCTGGCTGCCCTCTAGTCTCCCTTTGATGGCTGGTAATCGAAGGAAGGAGGGGAGGCAAGAGCAGCTCAGTTGCCACTGTTTGTCAGGGCTGAAACACCCTGCTCCCTTCCAGACACCCGATAAAATGGAAGGGCTTTGCATGAATGTGAGCGTATTTTAAGCTAAATTTACGCTTCCCTTCAAAGTCTGACCTGAAGAAACCCCATCCAGAGAGACTCTGCACCACAGCAGCAAGCCCACTGCAACTGGGATGAATGTTTAGCTGCGGAGCTCCCCTTCAGTGGGGCAAAAGGGGGAAGTGGTGCGACACAGAATCAGATTGAAACCAAAAAAAGCCTCTGCTTTCATCCACAGCATCATTCTGGGTTCACACACTCTGGTCCCTTTGCAGAGCTACTGGCCCTTCAGAAATTTTGAAGATTTATGTGTCAGAAAGGAAAAAATAAGCACCCAATCTATACCATAACTGGATTAATTCGAAACTGCGTAAAATGTTTCTAATAGGATTTTTTTTTTCCATGAATATTCAGATTATTGGTTCCTTCCACCCCATTTCTGCTCCCCTGACTGAGGTTTGAGGGTTTTGGGGAGGAATCCACAGCCACCATCAGGTCCTTTTCCTAGTAAAATCCCCCCTTTTACTAAATAATGCAGGAGAAAACTGAAATTAAATAGAAGATGGATTAAAATATATATAGTCTCAACTAGGTCCCCGCTGTTTCCCTGTAATTATTCTTTCTGAGTTGAAGTCCTGTCCTAGATGAGAGATGTAGCTCTGGTCTGCAGTTACTGCTCTATATTTCAATTCTGTCACCATAAGTCAGAATATGGCTGGGACTTCTGTGCCTGTCCTGCTGGCAGGCCGAGCCCGCCTTTCTAGTAAAATCCCCCCTTTTACTAAATAATGCAGGAGAAAACTGAAATTAAATAGAAGATGGATTAAAATATATATAGTCTCAACTAGGTCCCCGCTGTTTCCCTGTAATTATTCTTTCTGAGTTGAAGTCCTGTCCTAGATGAGAGATGTAGCTCTGGTCTGCAGTTACTGCTCTATATTTCATTTCTGCCACAAAAAGTCAGAATGGGCCTGCCACTTCTGTGCCTGTCCTGCTGGCAGCCAGAGCCTGCTTTGGGGAGGGCAGAGGCAACGTAATCATTAAAGAAAATTTGAATTAATTTTGTTCCCCAGCCTGATGCCTGAACCTTGCCAACCAAGCTGTGGGGAGACCACCTGTCTCTCCCAGCCCACCCACGCCAACCAGGCTGCAGAATATACCATGCCACACACGTGGCACAGCTCTCAGGAACACCTGGATGGCAAAGGAAAGGGGGGAATTCACGTTTTAAGCGCAGGGGCAGCCACCACGTCCGTGCATCCCTTTCCTTTCAGCTCTCTTCTTCTGAATGCGCACAAATTAGCCAGCAAGATGAAACACAATCCAATGAATGAACTGCAACACAAGCAAGTGGGCGCATTACATGGCAGCAGCCCTCCAAAAAAGGGCTTTAATGGTCCACCGTTTAATTAGCTCACACTGACATCAAACACAAATGAAATGATAAAGCTGCCTTCAGCTTTCCCTCTCGATCCGAGAGAGAGGGACTGATGGCCAGCATCATACATACCCCAAACCAGAGGAGAGGGTGACTATAAATTGCACAGGTATAATGCAGTATTTATAGGTCCCCTTTGATTAAACGCCATGAACACGAAGTGACAGCAAATGCCAGAGCCGAACGGTGGATGGTAGAGGCCTTTTACCAAGATAAATGCCCTGCCTCTGGATTTTATATATGCCTCTGTAAAAGGCACCTTTCTCCTTTCCAATTAGGCAATGCTCATTCCCTAACTACAGCCCTGGCTCCAGCCAGCTGCAAAACATGTGCTGTGACTCCTACCTGCCCCGCACACTGCTGGGGGACTTCAGTAACATGTGTAAAGCTCAAGGAAAAAGAAGAGGCTGAGGTAAAAGTTTATTTAAACTTATTTCTCAGCTTATTTTTCTTCCCCAGAAAGTCCTTCTGCTGGGGAGGTATTTTAAAACACCTCAACTTTGGCAATGGCAGAGGTTTTAAGTGCTATAAGCCATCTCTTACCAGAGACCCAGACCTTTAGACAGCAAAAGCAAATCTGTATTTCCTCAGACAGCAACACCGAATTTCATTTAACTCCTTTTAAATGTAAATCTTCTTTAAAGGTGCTCAACCAAGCTTTGATACTATCCCCTCCTCCTGGTGCCCCAGGTACCCTACTGAAGAAGTTATCTGCTATAGCCTTATATAGGAAAAAAAGAAGTTAGAATGATTTCTTTAATTATAAGTCATGTTTTTCTGCTGAGTTTTCACCCCTCTCCTTCCATCTCTACAGGGTGTCGCCTGATCCCTCCCTTCTCTTTGACGTGTGCTTACTTATTTTTCATGGCCGCAGTTTTACCAGCTGTAATTTGTACTTACAGCTGCCGGTTACTGCTTCCCCTCTCATTAATCCAACTGCGTAGGTGTCACCTCCATCACACTGTTCTTGCCCGATGCAAAAATTCTGCAAAAATGTTATTTCACAGGGGCTGCGTGACTGTGCTGTGCTCAGTAACAATTTTGTTGGTTTTTAAGGACTCGTAAGGAAGGGGAAAGTGTCTCTGCTTTCCACTTTGATGCACATACTCCAGACTACAAGGTATCTCAATGAGGCAAATAAAATTGAAGTAAACCTCCCAGCATCATTTCTTTACCACTTCACAAAATGAAATAGGTGCTATCTGGGGAAACATCTCCTAAAACAAAGCTTGTCCAGATTTGGGGGTTTGGGATGGCTGCATCCATCTCTACAAGAGAAAGTTTCCTGGATTTTATACCACTGAAAATGAGTTCCATATTTCTATCTTGAAAAGCTATGCGGCTTTTAAAATTTTAAGTGTTAGTGTCTCCCACTGGTGCCTTTAATGAGCCATCTGAGTTATTTTATGCAAGTTTAGCATCTGACACAGTTATCTTTTTTTTTTTCCCCTCCAATTCCCAAAACTGCACCATGAGTAATACCTCACCAAGTGCTTACAAACAGGGCTTTTCTATGGGCAAGAGCCTAGTGAGATGGCAAACTTCACTTTTTTTCCTCCATCTTGAGATTAATCACACAGTTGGGAAAAATAAGGGGCAGCTGGGCTGCTGCCTTCGTTTCCTGAACGGCACCCAGGGTGATGGGAGCAGGGCTCCCTGCCCTGGGCAGGCCCGGGCTGCAGAGGCAGGACACGTGTATTCTGGGCTCCCAGAAATCAGGCTACGTAGGGTCTCACGTTGATACGCACGTTTCATTTTAAGCATCCCAGTTGGAAACGTTGGATGCCATTGACGATAAAGCTAGCAAAAATCTATTTAACTTTTTTCAAATCATTCGCATGTGCACATACCGGAATATCCATCCAGGAGAGAGAAGTACAAACCCTACACAATCCTGTGGCACAGCACATTTTGCTTTTTCTTTTCAAAATGCGAGGCTGCGGCACTGCAGCTGAGTAGAAACTGTTTTGACATCAAAGGAAGCATGATGGAAAGTCATGGAGATCACGCTTCTGGGAAAAAAGCAGAGCTACCGGACCAAAGGCAGAGCCAATCCACTGTTTATGTAATATTCGCAGTCATAAATAAGTAAAGAAAGGAGATTCCAACCCAGAAAGTGGTTTCTGAACTGAACGGTATCTTCCAGGGGCTGTTGATCTATGGAGAGCCTGTCCTCAGGGTTACTGAGCTGATTTCTTAAAGCCTTGTGGACAGGCATCCTCTGCTGTGAAGCTTTGCCTGACAACTCGCTGCATCAGTGCTCAGCAAACACTGCACCGTAATTGTGCATGTACTAAAACCAAAGGGCAGATGAGCTCCAGACCCCTCCTGCTTGAGGACAAGCACTGCCACGGTCCCTCTCCATCAGGATGCACGCATACACACACGTCAACGCTCTGGTGTGAGGGCAGCAAAGGTGACAACCTGTGACCCTGACTTGCCTCTGCAGGACACCAGATTTCACCGTTCAACTCTTCTCCTTCTCACAAATTATTGCAAATACTCATCCAGGCTTTCTTACACACCCAGAGAGGCTGTGGCATCTCCATCCTTGGAGATATCCAAAACCTGACTGTACGTGACCTTGTTGGTCTAGAGGGTCTCTAGAGATCAACCTCACCTACCCTACAGAAGTCCTCCCCACCCAACTACCAGCGTTGACTACATGCCATCACTCCAGAGGAGCGATCTGAGCTGTGCCTCCATGGGGGACTGACTTCTTTCATCCAGTTCCGAAGGCGGATTAAAGCAAGCAGCAATTCAATGACAAACACATGCCGCACTCAAAACTCACCTCTACCTCCTTCCAAATTCCCTGTCAAGTCTGCAGCCGTTTCAAGCTCCATACTTCAAATAAAATGATCTTCCACTAACCCCTCCTGGGCTCTAGCCCCGCTCCGAGCTGGCTGAGCCACCGGAGCGAGCAGCGGGCTCAGCCGTCTCCCCTTGCTTTGGCCCATCTCTAGCGAATCGCATCTGTGCCTTGCCCTAACCCACAAAAGAGTTATACCGTGGCTCTTTGCTAGTGCCAGCAGAACGGCTGCTTGGAAAGTGTGGCTGTAGATGGTGCCAAAAAAAAGTGCAATTCGCACCCTTGCCTCAAAAGGGGAATAAGCAATGAATTTGGCTCCTGTCCTGCTGCCAGCTGTAAGCCCAGGCTAGGAAAGTTTTCTAAGCAATGCTTATGATTTAAGAGAACGACGGCTATTATGTTTCTGGTAAAATGAAAGATGGAATAACAAATAATCTGTGTGTTATTCTATGCATCATTAAAATACAGGTTTATGATCCTTTTTAGAAGAAGAGGCTACTTTAATTCAACACAGAAAACAGGTTGTCAAGCTACGGCTGTTAGGTGCCATCCATTTTTTTCCCCTCTTAAATTTTAAACGGCCCTTCTAAAATTATAACAACATTTGCTGCATTAGGTTAGCAGCAATTTATTTGATACACAAACTATCCTCTTCCTCCTCCCCATATGATGCATAATTTTTACATTTATTGGTTTTTAATAAGCAACCTTGTGAAAGCTTGACTTTCAGAAGAGTACACCCCATTTATTGCTTATTTGATTTGTGGGTGCAATATCCAGGCTCAGAGTGTACGCATATGGAAACGGGTAATGCATAGACAATTCAGGCATGGGAGCACACAGATCCCTGCTGCAAAACCCAGGTGTATCGCTGCAGCTTGCTTGCTTTGCACCTTCGTTAGGACCACAGCAAAACGCTGCCTTTATGCCTTCTGCCAGATACACAGGAGCATCTCTGGGTTGAGCAGCACAGAAGGATGCAAGGGGTGATTCGTGTCAGCTACCAGACACACGTGAAGAGGGGATTTGCAGGATAACGCTCCTCTTCTGCCCAAGCTGGAGGAAATCTCTCCCGACAGCCAGGACCCTGCAGGCAGGGACGGGGATCTGGCGACAGCCAAGCCGGCCAGCGGTTTGAAGCCATGCCCTGCACACCACCAACCTCCCCAAGGTTTCTGACTCCAGCCAAAGGACTCCCAGCTCAATGGCTGTGACTCCAGCACAAGCTCATTAATCGCTCGTAATTAAACAGCAATCACGCTGATTTACCAACTGCGTGCGGACCTAAATGCTCCACAAATACATATTCCACATCTGGGCAATTGCTAATTTACTGTAGACACTAAGTAAATTGGATTCACTGGGCTATTACCTCCTCGTGGGACGCTGCAGAAAGGGCTCTGCGCAGCAGCAGCACACCTATACTTCCTATTTTTACTTTTAAATGAAAGAAAATCCTATCAGATTCTTTTAACTTTAAGTCTTAACATAACGGTGATCTAAAACAAAGAGTACAGATGATTTCCCCCGAAAAATCAAAGACGAGGAGGGCTGTTGACACACGCAAGAAGAGATGTGACACGTTTCACTCCCTTTGTAGTTCCACTGCCCAAAAAACTATTAATGTCTTAATATTCCCACAACAGCAGTGGTTGGAAGAATAGCTTGCTTCTGAAACATTTAATTTTGCAGCTGCCTAAATACATCAGCTTTAACTTTCTAGTAGACAAGAGTTTCCACTTAGCCTAAAAAACTTTTAATGAGTTTGCCATTGATTTTTTTTTTTAATATTCCCAGTCTGAGTTGTTTAAAAAAACAACTCTTAAAGATCTAGAAAAGCAAAGCACGCACTTGTGACAAATCCTAGCAGCAGAAACTTGGACTTTTCAAAAAAATGTATAGATTTCTTTGGTTGGTTGGTTGCTTTTTTTTAAATCGGTGCATAAGATCTGAGAACATGCCTGATATGGATTAGCTCAGAAAAGGACAAAACACAATGAGATGAAGAAGGATATGGATTGCTATGATCAATAAACCACACTATTACCAAGCTCCCCAGGAAACACCAGCTCTGAAGTTTATTCAGCCAGCTCCTCTGGCCACACACAGCCACTGGACTGTGGGTTATCTGAAGAGAGCCTCCTCTGGACAGACTTCAATGCTCAGTCTGGGACCTTAGTGGGGTTCCAGTGCTCCCCCTCCTTCCCTCCAGCGTGCTGGGGAGCTCCAAAGGTGCTTGCCATTACTTGGATTTCAGATCAGAAATGCAGCACCTAGCCACGCAGCTCTTATTTCTATGCAAAGCTTATCATTTTTAAGCAAAGCTGAAACAAAACAAGGGTTGAAATGTTCCTACTACCAGTGTCACTGCTGGTTAGTGCCTCTGCCGTGTCAATCACGGAGACCTCTACAGAAGATATAGTTTGAAAGAACACTTCTTAGAATACCGCTTGTCTTTGCCAACAATAATTTTTCAAGTACTTCGTAAAAGGAGAAAAAACGTCACTCCAGAAGTCAGGGATGAAGAAGAAACACTGGTGTGCCTGTGCTCTGGTCCCAGACCACGTGATATACTCACTAGGTCATCTTGCCTCTGCACGCATCAGACCTAAATGGTCCTGCTGAACTCACCATGTTACCACTGCTTCCTAATCTATTCATTCAGGCTATACATTTTGGCCTTTTTTTCCCCTCTATATCTAGAACTTGGAAGGTATAAAACTTGAAATCCCTCTTTATCCATGGACGTGGCAAGTTAAACCTCTCATTACAGGGAGGAACTGAAATTTCGGTACATTTTTAACCTGTCAGCCTGGGCTCATTCAACATCTTCCCAACTTCAAAGACACAGCATGAGTCCTGCTCCCTCAAGCTTCCAGTGCCTGTCCGTCTCGCAAGTATTAATACCTTTATCAAGTGAAGCTCCAGCCATGTGGTAGAAGCTCAAAGCTGTGTCCACATCATTTATGTTCTTCAGAAAAGTGAAGAAGCTCTCCACCTCCTCAAACGTCAGCCCCTAGGACAGAGAAAAGATGGTCTTACGGTGATGGGAAAAGGAGATTGTGACACTGCCTGGATTACGAACAACAAAGTAACTCATCGGCCCAAAGCTGTAGCCAGAGGGGAATTAATCTGCACACTCAAAAGGCTCCTACCTTGGCACCTGCAGATACGGGTGGCGACCCGTACTTTTGTTAACTGCCTCCGCTCCCCTCCTGGCCCCCCCAGTCATGCGACCCGAAGGGACTTCCCCATGCACGGTCAGCGGTGGCAGAGACCGAAAAGCATTCCTCTGGCCCTCACTCTGCAGCCCGCTCTCGCCCAGAAGAGCAGACACATCATAAGCCTGGGATGCAGGAGACCGCTGCAAGCAGGTTCATTTATATATTTTTTCCAAGCCTGCACACTTGCAATGACAATCATGAAATAGTTCAAGCGCTGCACAGTCTCTCCCAAGAGATTCAGGGATCCCTGGGGGGATCCATGTCTTACCCAGTGTCGCAGAAGGTGACACTGCAAACCACAGCAGGGATAGATGTGACCCAGTTAGCTCTGCTGCTGGTGGCAGGATGGTTGCGGGGCTGGATCGCTGTCTGCTCTACTTACCGCCACAGTTGCCCAGGGCTTGGCTCACCCAGGGATGGGTGAGCCTGTGCTCAGTGAGCGCCTACAGCCACGCACCCGGATAGTCACGGAAACGCATCCCAAGATTCCCCAGCGCTGGCACTGCTGCATCACAGTACAGCCGATGGGCAGGTAGGGGATAAGTAACACACTCCTCCCTGCACCGATCTGACCGGCGAGGAGCGTGCCAGGAGAGCGGCTGCTGATGAGTGCAGCTCTGGGACCCTCGCTCGGTTACACAACACAACACCCAATTTTATCAATCCATTCAGCTCCAGCATCAGTGCTGGGATAAGAGCTGCAGCCTCCGAACTCCCCCACCACAGCCACAGCCCGGAGCCAATGGAGGACGTAAATCCTCACCACAGTAATAACCACTCAGCTTTCCTCTCTGGAAGAGATAAATCAACTTGTCAAGAGGAGTTCAGGTTCAGGCTCCTCCTATCCTGTCTAGTGTGACAGACTGATATAGCAAGATACTAAAAATCCCAACTGCATAACATGGCACTGTTTCATGGTCTGGGTGGAAGAGCACATGTTCAG